CGGACCAAGGTACGCAGTTTACCTACCATTTATGGAGAGCAGTTCAACGTGAGTTGGGCACACGGGTCGAGTTGAGCACAACATTTCATCCTTAGACGGACGGGCAGTCCGAGCGCACTATTCAGTTTTTGGAGGATATGCTCCGAGCTTATGTCATTGACTTTGGAGGCTCATGGGATCAGTTCTTGCCTTTAGCGGAGTTCGCCTACAACAATAACTACTAGTCAATCATCTAGATGGCTCTTTATGAAGCTTTATATGGTAGGCGGTGTCAATCGCCGGTTGGATGGTTTGAGCCGTGAGAGGCTCAGTTGCTGGGGACGGATCTAGTACAATATGCCTTGGACAAGGTTAGGATCATTCAGGATAGGCTTCGTACAGCTTAGTCCAGGCAAAAAGTTACATCGATCGTAAGGTTCGTGATGTGGCATTTATGGTTGGTGAGCGGGTGTTGCATCGGATGTCGCCTATGAAGGGCGTGATGAGATTTGGGAAGAGGGGCAAGCTTATCCCTAGATTCATTGGTCCTTTTAAGATTCTTGATCGAGTGGGAGAGGTGGCTTACAGACTTGTGTTGCCGCCAATTTTATCAGTCGTGCATCTAGTGTTTCATGTGTCCATGCTTTAGAAGTATCACGGTGATCCATCCCACATGTTAGACTTCAGCACTGTCCAGTTGGACAAGGACTTGTCTTATGAGGAGAAGCCGGTAGTTATTCTAGACCAGTAGGTTCATCAGTTGAGATCAAAGAGTTTCCCTTCTATTCGTGTTCAGTGGAGAGGTTAGCATGTTGAGGCAACGACCTGGGAGTCCGAGTCCGATATGCAGAGCCGATATCCCCATCTTTTCTCAGACTCAGGTACTTCCTTCTTATTTTCGTTCGAGGACAAATGATTGTTTTAGAGGTGGAGAATGTGATGACCCAAAAGGTCATCACTTGTTTTTACAAGTCGATTCTGTGTTTTGAGGCCTTAAAACCTCCTTTTTGTCTCATCTCATTTTGCGTGCACAGTTCGAACATGTATCCAGAAAGCCATTATGTGAAAATCAGTGAAAAATGATAAATTTTTCTTTTAAAATGAACTTAAGTTGACTTTGGTCAATATATTGGGTAAACGGACCCGGACCTATGATTTGACGGTCCCGGAGGGTCTGTAGGAAAATATGGGACTTGGGCGTATACCCGGAATTGAATTCCGAGGTCCCAAGCCCGAGAAATGAATTTTTGAAGAAAATTGTTTAACTGAAATTATAAGAGTTTTTGAAATTTGAATGTGTTTGAACTTGATGGTATCATGCCTGTATTTTGATTTCGGATCCTGGTACAGGTCTTATATGGTATTTAAGTTGAGCCTGTAAAATTTGCTAAGAAACGGAGGTCATATGACGTGAATCGGACCTTCAGTTGTTAAAATTTGAAACTTTGAAAGTTCTTAAGATTTTCTTTGATTTTGATGCTAAACTTGTAATTGTTGAGGTTATTTTAAAGATTTGATTGCGTGAGAAAGTCCGTATGATGTTTTTAGGTTAGGGTGCATGTTTGGTTTGGAGCCCCGAGGGCTCGGGTGAGTTTTAGATATGCCACAGAGTGAAATTAGACTTAGGAGCAAGTGCTGGTATCTGGTATTTTTGCCCAGGCCTCTGATCTCGCAATTGCGAGAGCAGGCTTCACAATTGCGAAGTTCTCAGGCTTGGTAATTGCGACCCAGGCTTCACAAATGCGAACCAATCCTGGGCAGGCCGTTTTCGCAAATGCGAACTATGGGTGGGAATTGCGAAGCCCCGCCCCCCTCGCAAATGTGACAGGTCCCTCGCAAATGCGACAGTGACTGGATTTCTTCATGGTCGCAAATGCGACATATTCTTCGCATTTGCGAAGATAGCAGGCACTGAAGGGGTTCGCAATTGCGAACCCTGGTCGCAATTGTGACATCTGCAACCTGATAAATCATAACTTAGCCGAAAATTTCTCATTTTTCAAACCCTCTCAAACCTAAAACATCTTTGGGCGATTTTTCGAAGGCAACTACTCTTCCAAATCGATTGTAAGTAATTTCTATCTTATTTTCTTTAATCTATAACATCTTTTCACATGATTTCAACTCAAAATCAAGGGTATTCATTGGGGAAATTGGGTGTTTTGGGTAGAACTTAGGATTTTTCGAATTTTGGGGATTTGGACCTCGATTTGTGGTCCGATTTCAAAACAAATTATATATTTGAGTTCATGGGTGAATGGATAATCGGGTTTTGGTTCGAACCTCGGATTTTGACCATGTGGGCCTAGGGTCGATTTTTGACTTTTTGAGGAAATCATTGGAAAACTTATTTTCATGCATTAGAATTGATTCATTTAGCATTTATTGATATAGCTAAGTAACTTGTGGCTAGATACAAGCGAATTGGTGGTGGAAACAAGAGGTAAAACAGTATTTGAGGCTTGAATTGTGTTCGTGTCATCGAGGTAAGTGTTTGGTCTAACCTTAGCTTGAGGGATTAGTAGTTGTGTCTTATTTGCTATGTGTTAATTGTGGAGTACGATGTATAGGCATGGTGACGAGTATCTATACATCGGTGTCAAGCATGCCCGTGAGTCTCGTATTGTAATTGTTGTGACTTCGTTGTGATTTATTCATGCTTAATATGATAATTATCATTGTTGGTTCCCTTGCCGGGAGGTTATTGTTTATGATGTTATCTCCCTTGCCGGGATGTTATTGTGTATGATATTGTCTTTCTTGCCGGGATGTTGCTGTTATACTTTTATTCCCTTGCCGGGATTCTTTTATGATTGAGGTTGAATTGCAAATGGGATCGAGTTGCACGCCGCAATGGTGATATATGAAATGGGATCGGGTTGCACGCCGCAACTGTAATACATGAAATGGGATCGGGTTGCACGCCGCAACTGTAATACATGAAATGGGATCGGGTTGCATGTCGCAACGGTAATATATGAAATGGGATCGGGTTGCATGTCGCAACGATAATATATGAAATGGGATCGGGTTGCACGCCGCAACGGTAATATATGAAATGGGATCGGGTTGCACGCCGCAACGGTATTACATGATTTGGGATCGGGTTGCTCGCCGCAACAAGAACGAAATAAAAGTGAATATTGCGTTTGTTTTCCTTATTCTTGTTGGCAATTAAGTTATAGTTTTTTCTTTACATTCCTCTATTGGTATTCTGTTGTTATCTGATACTCCCCGCATCATGCTTTCTACCTCCCATCTTTAACTATAAATCTCTGTTTTTATTTTTCCGCTGTATATGATTTAACTGCACATGTTTACTTGGTAGTCTGGTCCTAGCCTCGTCACTACTTCGCCGAGGTTAGGCTAGGCACTTAACAACACATGGGGTCGGTTGTGCTGATACTGCACTCTTCACTGTGTGCAGATCCCAGTGCTGCAGCTTTTGGACCGCAGTGAGGTTGCTGCCTTCAGTCCATTCAGGCGACCCAAGGTAGTCCTGCAGGCGTCTGCAGGCTCTGGCGTCTCCTTCTATCTTTACATTCTGTTTCTTTTATGTATTTCAGAGACAGTGTTGTATTTATCTTTCGACCCTTATTTGTAATATTCCTAGACAGTCTGTGATATTGTGACACCAGTTCTGAGTAACTTATACTATGGATTGGCATTGGTATCACTATTAAATCGTTACGTCTCAGTCTTCCGTTTTATATTTCCGCTATTTATATGATGTTTGTTCACTATTGTTAAAGGATTAAAATATATTAAAAAGGTTAAGTAATTGGAACGATTCGCTTGCTTAACTTTCACTAGTAAGTGCCATCACGTCCCCCGAGGGTAGGAAATCTGGGTCGTGACAAATAAATATTAAAAAACTCATTATTAGAATTGAAAAATGTGTACTTTGCAAAGAAAATTGAAGAAGTGTTTATATTAGTCGTCCTACTGGGACAAACAAATCAGTATCCAAACACAATTGAGATATTGATAATTTGATAATTTTTTAAAATTGAAGAAGTGTTTATATTAGTCGTCCTATTGGGACAAACAAATCAGTATCCAAACACAATTGAGATATTGATAATTTGATAATTTTTATGGCTGCTATTTTAGCTAATATAATTAATGTCTTTATGTTTCCTTATGAACGAAGTCTTACATATACCCAAATTAAATTAGAAGGATTTAGTTGATCGCGTATATATCAGAATTCCTGGGTTAAATTCCTATTTTATTACAACTCGTCGTCTTAGCGGGTGTATTTTCAATTTTGTTCTTTTCTTGTGAAGATTTATGTAAATAACTAAAGGCATAAAAGTCAATCAATATTTTAATGATATTTTAGTCGTTCAACATTTAGCTTTCAACATTCGTGATTTTATAATAATATAGATATATATCAGAGAAAACAAATTGCTCTCTCCATGCCAATATTTCTCAAAATTGAAAGATCCCCAAACATAGTGAAGGAAATGCAACAAGTTTAGCCAAGAACAAAAAATAAATGACAAGAAAAGTCACACAAAATAGTCTATTCGGCCAATTTTTCAAATACCTATTTCGAAAAGAAACAGTCAAATTAAAAATATATTTACCAATATTAAATAACAATTTGTGATTGACCAAAACTACAAAATCAGGACAACTATAGAATTCTAGAATATTTCTACTGAACATCATTGCAGAATCACAACCGTCAAATCAAAGATTAATCCAACGGCCATCAATCAACCCTAGCTCCACTAAGAAAAAACCAAAACCCCTCCACCAAGAAACCAGCCCCCTTCCACTCTACGCCTAGTGTCCCAAGAACCAAGACCCACAGCATACTTTCATCCAATTACCTCTAGCCACGTAGCGTCATATTTGCCCACCATTTCAACCTTTCTCAAAAGCTCGGCCCACATTAGACGTTGCCAATTGGAGTTTACCTCAACCAGTCACAGTTTCCTAGATTAGGAACTAGACCACTGCTAAAATATCAACGAGTTTAAACACACCACAAAATTTATTCAAGAAGATTAGATAGACACGTCTGCTAAAATATCTGTATATTTACATTTTGATTACAGGGGGAAAAAAACCAAACAAAACATATGTATAACCACTCTAAAAAGCAAGCCAAGAGTCACAGTATCTGATATTCCATCATACTATGTATTATACTACTATTAGCTTACTATAAGCCCAACTCCTAACTTGTAACTCCCCTTCACACTTTCCTATTCGGGCTTCCACCCTCCAACGTTTCCCTTCATATACTAGTAGCACTAAACTATATACAGTAGTGCTCTATCAAACACTGGCCTTTTCGTGAGAAAGCACTAGTGTTTTAAGGGAATTGGAGGAGCTGCATTCTGATTAGTAATACGTACGTGGTGCTGATATGCTAATTAGGAGCAACTGAACTTGGACTTGATTAACTTAATATCCTATAACTAATCCTCCCATTGGGGCTCGATGAGGAATTCCCTTTCTTCGTTTGGCTGTTCTATAATTAACCGAAGTTTGAGGGGGCGTTGACGGACTGAAACTTTGAACCTTGTTTCGCCAGCTATGGTTGCTGCTACTGTAAGAGTCCTCCGAGTCATAGGCTGCTGCTGTCACCGCCGCCCTCTTCTTTTCCACGAAATTCTGTGATGTCCCAACAATCTATAAATAATCAAAATTAGAAATTAATTACGACATCCCAAGAATTGCTAATGGGGAATATATAAGTAAATGGTTAAAAACAATCTATCCCCAATCTCGAAACCCCAATTGTTAACTTTTCTATAACTGTTCCATTTTCCCAAAAGACCTGTTGATAATGCCAAAGTTTGTTGCCAATTATGGAGCAGTAATGTGAGTAGAATTTCCACACTACTACTACTACCAGTTAATAGCTTCTTAACATTTTGTTAAAAGCAAACAGCAATTGAGAATAACCTTTATGGTATTCAGGACCCAAATATTCAATTTAATGCAATAAATTTTTTGTGCAGGGGGGGCAAGAATGGAGCAACAAGCAATTAGTAAGTAATTACCTTACAGCCAAGAGAGCAGAATCTGAAGGAGTCGAGGAGACTCCTTTCACAAACCTGACAGGTATTAGTGACACCTTTGCCTGGCCTAGGTTGTGGCCTCTCATTCAAGAACACAACCTTTGCACTGTTGATAATGTAGGTCTGAACTGAAGTGATGTCCAAATACTTCTGTATTTCATTCACCCTTATCACATCATGGTAAGATGACCTTCTTATCTGTTCCAAAAACAGAGCAACCCACATTTAGTCAACGGTGAAAAAATGGCAGAAACCAACCCCTGAAATTGAAGAATACCTGAATGGCACGATGTTCCTTGTGATGAGATAAACAAAGAGAGCAGAGAGCGCCATTCATACAGTCCAAACAGTACATATTGCATTCACTCTTGTGGGAATCAGCATGTAACTTGCATTGAACAAAGAAACGTTCCTTTAACAATGGCTTCAACCATGGTGGCCACCTATTGTCCTCTTCATCTGGCCCTCCAGCTCCCTACACATTTTAACACTATCAGCAAAATTAAAACACAGCAAATATTGATTAATCGACAACCCCAAAATATTTTTACCATGATTCGCCTGTTCTTAGGCTTGAATTCACGGACACTTGTTTCTTGATTATTGATCGCCAGCTTGAATGAAACTGTTGTTATTAGTAACGCTCTGTATTGGTGAAGAGAAAAAATTTTGGTTTGTGAANTCCTTTCAAAGCTCATACACACATAAACAAAGTTTCCGAAGCAAGCTCCGAGGCAAAACCTAGAGATACGTTGGCTGCAAGGAACCGACCTCCTTTCCTTTTATTTTCCCTTTCATTTTCATGTTTTACATATTCTTGTTTAGGTCTTATCTTAAATAAATAATCGTTTTTTTCTTTTATTCTTTATATCATTGATCATGTTATAAATATATTATATTATGGATGTTCATTTAATACTCCGTTGTAAATAAGCTTCCTGAAGAAACTTATCCATATGGGACTCCACCGTAAATATGTTTATCTATTTAAGTACTCTATTGGAAATAAGCTTTCTGAAGAAACTTATCACTTCGATACCCGGTTATGGATAAACATTACCCCCGATAGAAGATTATCCATACCGGGTATAATAAGCTTAT